GCGGCTCCGCGGTCACTTGCGAGAGCTCTGCCGATCGACCCTCTTGGCAGTTACAGGGCTTGATGCCCCTTATCGCTTTCTTTCTCCGCCCGAGCTGCATCCGGGGGGAGCGGACTCTCGCCACGGTAAGGCAGCGACCTCGCCTTTAAAATCCTGCTTACTTTCATTCCGCATTAGAATCACAGAATCATAGAATCATTTAGGTTGGAAGGGACCTCCAAGATCATCAAGTCCAACCACCGAGCCACCAGGGCTCCAAAGTCCTCTGCCAAAACAGATCAGAATCTGTCAGGGTTGGAAGGGACCACAAGGATCACCCAGTTCCAACCCCTCTGCCATGAGCAGGGACACCTCCCACTAGATCAGGCTGCCCAGAACCTCTCTTAAGTGACTTCTAGAACCTGTATTTCAGGCTGCGCTTTTCCTCCTCAAGATGTCTTTAAAGGTACTTTTTCTATTTCTTTTTAAGGAATTCTGTCCTCTGTTTGAAGTCTGTCATCTGGCAGTAGGATGGTTCAGTTCTGTGTCAAACCATGTATGTTGCTTTTTTGATTCACAGCTATACTGCTGTGTGATCTCTCTGCAAATGTGTGTTACTCTCCCAGCTCTCGGACTGCACAGGAACTTCCATCTCACTCTGAAGACTCAGAACTCCTTATGAAAAGTCCCTTCTCCACTCTCTGCCACCTCCTCCTCTGCCAATACATAGGCTTGTTGTCGATGTCATTTACTACTACCTTTACTTTTGTCCCAAAGGCCTAATATTGTTCCTGCCTGTTGTCACACCTTTTATTATTTATTTTATTATATATTTTATTATTGTTTTATTGCTTTCTCTGATGATACAACCAGTCGGGTACAACCAGTGGGTTTTCAAATGCATCTAGATTTTGTCGTTAATAACGTTTGTAAACTCCTTGCCAAGTATCTTGATACTTCTTGGAAAGAAAAAAAAAAAAGAATTTGAAAGCACTGGAATTACTTTTGAATACTTCTCTGATAAAAATATTTGTGTTTTTACCAAGATCACTGTTCATATTATGAGCAATTGTATGTTTCGAAGGTTGACACTGATAGCCCTATTTTGTGATTGTATAATGCTAATATCAAGAACTTATTTTTCCTATTTTTCTGATAGTTAAAAATGAGTTTTCTAACTCTAATGTAATTAGAGTTTTGTGATAATAAGCTGGCACGTATAAAATCAATCAATTTTCTTTGTATGTTATTTTTTGTCTTTTAGGTCTTCAAATTATTTCTCGTTTTAATGCTTTGGCTTTTACAAACAGCGTAATTTCCATAAGTGACATATAAGTATTTATGTGTTCTGAAGAGGCTTAATTGTGTAATTGTGGTATGTTAGTTCTTTTAAAAAGACTGTCACTGGGGACTGGCTGTACTCTGAAAATGGTAGGAAAGAAAACAAGTACAGTGGGTGAACTACTTTGAATCACTAGTTCTGATTAAATCATCAATCAAGAAGTCTTGATTTAAACTTTCAATTTTAATTTTGCTTTATATTTGTATTTTATCTAATTCGGTAATCATGTGTAATTATGTGTTGTTTCTCAAAACTCAGCAAAACTTAGGCGACATTTAATTCTTTCTACAAATCATAAGGTCATAGCATATCTACACACGTGCTGGGACCTTACCAATTCTTACTAGAAGCAGAAATAATTCTAAAGACTTAGTAATTTAAATAATGACAAAAGTACATGACTGGAAGTTCTGTTTGGAGGGAACAGTTATAATAACAAAGCTGAGCAAAGGCTACAGGTTCAAGATTCTGGCAGAGATCAGGGCAGGTGGTTTATATAGACCTGAGGGCATGGAAGTAGTGTGGCAAAATAATCTGCTTCTCTAGTTCCACCTGGTCTCTGTAGTTGGAATTTAGTCATGCTGACTAAAAAAGATGTCACCAACTAGTGAGAGGTGATGACTGGGTGACAAGCACCCTGCTCATCCTTGTGGCAGTGTTTCTTTATGTCTGTTATTTAGCTGGCTTCCTACTGTTTTCATTTCTGTGTGATGTCATTTCTTGTTTACTAGCAGAATGTAATTTCTTATTCGCTAAATTGTTTTCTCAATCTACAGTACACTACAGCATACATTAGTATATATTAATAATATTAAAAACTAACATTTGCACACTTCATAATTTTATTAACATTTGATAAATGTTAATAAAATAAAATAATTGATATTCTTCATCATAGTATCAGGCTTGGTATGTTAAATAGACGATTATTTTTGTTAGGGACATTTTAACCCAATTGCATACATACCTAGTAACGTGTAGCTGGTGCATTACCATGTAGAAGATATGTGTATCTAAATCAGTATTTAAGGATTTATACAGGAAGTTTTTTTCCATTCTTTTTAACAAAATACTTTCCTCCTTCTTACTGGAATTTGAATTCATTTTCTGTGTTCTTTCTTTGCTGCTTTCCATATCTGTTCTCTTATTGATTCTGCTTTGGGTTTTGTGTCCTGAATCTACTTTCTCTTCTGTTCATTCCTTCTTCCTGGCCATTCTTGAAATTGTTCCTGCCTTCTGCTGTAACTGTACTCAACCAGGCTATTTCACTCTGGCCTGTTCTGCTGAACACTGTAACGCTGCTCGAATTTCTGTAGGTCACCCTAAAGGCAGCTTCTAGCTAATTCCATTTTTGCTGCAGATCTGATGACTACAGAAATAAAGGTGAGCAGCTCAGGATTAGGAAATGTGTCCATTTGAAAGATGCAGTGACAACACTGTCAAAATTATCTTATGGACTGTGTAGGATATATAAGAACAAGCGGTTCTTTTCTAATGCACTCATTCAGGTTTTCTTGTTTGATTGTTCAGATCAGTACTTGAACCTGGGAATTACAACCCTTCATATTCTGTCATAAAGGAATGAAACTTATTTTATGTTTTTAATCTTTTTCTGTTCTAGGAAGCAATGTTCTAAGAATGTCGTCTGGTGTCCAAATAAAACCAAAGACTGCAGTACAGAAAAGCAAGACATCTCCTTTGCTGTGTTCTCCAGAAACTGCAGTTAAACCACAGCCAAGGCCAAGTGACAAGCTGAATCCTAAAACTATTGATCCAGTATGTATAGGTGGTGGCTCTTCTGTTTGTTTGTTTAAAACAGATCTCTTGTTGGAATAAATTTCGTTACTTTATGAAACACCTGGAGGACATGCTAGTTCTGGTCCTGTTTCGTAAATCTAGACAGAACTTTTTTTATTAATCATACATTCCTGAATTTCTGAGCTCAAATACCTGAGGTGTAATACGTTTATTACTTTTTTTAAAAAGGGATTTCAGTACAGCTGTGGCTTGAATGGTGACTTCTATATTCTGTATGTACTTATGCCCTGAAAAGAGATTTCACACTAAGAGTTAAAAGGGGGTTGGGTTTTTTTTGACATAGTTAGAAATTTTGTTACCTGCTGCGTTAGAGGAACTTATGCAGTGAAACCAAGAATCAGGTAGCATCTTGAAGATCATCAAGAACTCGTAAGATCTAGCAAATTAATTGCTAGTGAGCATTACCTGAAACTCCCAAGTACTGTGAATATATAATGCTTTGAGAAGAATTTTGGCTTTCAGAAAACTGATGAAAGGAGTTTCTTTCATGGAATCCCTGTGCCTGGAGAACTAGCCTTGAGTGGGTGAATTATAGCTTACCTTTGGGCTATATCGGCCAAACAATTAGTAATGTCACAGACCTTTTGGAAAATGAACTAAATGCAGTTCTAAACTAAACTTTGCTGAAGTACTAGTTTGCCATAAACAGACCAAGAAGGCTTTCACGTGGGCATTTGTCCTCTGGAAACCTTTTATGCATATAGTGCGATGTCTTAAGCCAAGAAGTTGTCAAATCATGCACACAGTTTTTACAGTGTTAATATAGGTTAAAACACATGAAAGATAAAAATAAGGATTTCATGGTCTTTCCTGGGAAGTAGCATGGAACAATCATCCTAATAAATAATGTCATCGTTCATATGCATAGCAAGCACGTCTATGATAAACAACTTCGTGCAGGATTTCCTGCTGTGAAGCTCCTGGTTTCCTTCTCTAGTGAGTCCTTCCTAGATTCTCACCCAATATGAACCACCACGCTGTTTTCCAGTGCCCTCATAACATCTTGCCCAACATTTGGTGTTTCTCCCACATCTTGCCAGCTTGTACGTCTGTCTGTACTTTGATCAAGATGGAATTGGAGTACGTCTGCCTTCTGCATGTTACAAATGTTTCAATAATAAGAGCATCAGGAAAGAGAGGGGTCCTTAATCTGTTAAGGAGATAACCCATAACACTTCAGTGTTAAGATTTGCAAGATAAAATAGAAAAAAAAAGGGCATTCCATCAGGAGAGCATGATTGTACATTATTTATTCATTTTCACAGCTTCCTAGCCAGACAGTTCTGAAAAGCAATTTTCTGATAAATGTACCAGATGTATGTTTTCCACTCCATGGCTGCAGTTATTTTTTTGATTAGTTTTAGAATCATATGACTTAAGTTCCTTTCTTGGTAAACAGCAGTTTTAGCATTCATAATAGTTATCAAACATTACTGTTATGAATAAGTAATGGTCTTCTTTTTTCTGTCCTCACAGTTTTGTGCTTACTCTCGACCAACTTCTGTATTTGCTGCTATATACGCTAAAGGGGACATTCCATGCAGGTGTGGTGTTCTTTTAGTTTTTTTAATAAATATATTATGGTTAGGTGGAATTACATAAATAGAAATACATTTCTTAACCTCTGATCTTTTAGTTAAGCTGTTTGTTTCCATTGATTTCTGAAAAGATTTCCGGTACTTAACTCTTTTCAAAGCAGAAAGAAAGTTTCCATGTCTTTGAAATGTTCTTCTTTTGGTTCTTTTTTTACACTGTGTTGATACTGAAGCTTCATTTTTAAAGAGTAGCTATTTGCATATTGGGTTTGCTAAACATCTTTCATGAAAGAAGTTGATTACTTCAGGTGATGCTGTTTACTTCTCCCTGTAAGTAGAAATCTTGAAGTCTTTTTTTGTCTGAAGTTGGTAGTCTGACATTTTCTTGAATATTCCCATTCTGTAGTTGTGAGCAATACCAGATACTAACAAAAGTACTTTATAACTAAGTCTGGAGTATTTTAAGTTACACTTGTCCATTGTATATTTGCTTAGACGATAAGCACTTTAGTGTTTTGTCAAGTGGATGTAGAATTACTTAACAAAAATTTAAGTAATTATAAATACATGTATATACATTTTTAAACTAATCATTACTATATAGCCTTATTTGTATCTTAGGATGAATTCCCATATGATTTTCTTTCAGTTTCAGCTGATTTGCCTTACCAATTGTTATTTCATAGAATCATAGGATCATAGAATATCTGGGCTAGAAGGGACCTCCAAAGGTCCAACCTCCCCGCAATAAGCGGGGACATCTCAAACTAGATAAGCTACTCAAAGCTTCATCTAGCCTGATCTTGAATGTCCCCAGGGATGGGGCCTCCACCACCTGTCTGGGCAACCTATTCCAGTGGTCTGTCACCCTCATACTGAAGACCTTTTTCCTAAAATCTAACCCAAATCTCCCCTTTTCTAGCTTAAAGCCATTACCCCTCGTCCTGTCACTACAAACCCTTGTGAATAGTCCCTCCCTTCCTTTCTTGTAGGCCCCTTGCAGGTACTGCAAGGTTGCTATAAGGTCAACCCAGAGCCTCCTCTTCTCCAGGCTGAACAAACACAGCTCCCTCAGCCTGTCCTCATAGGAGAGGTGCTCCAGACCTCTGATCGTTTTTGTTGCTCTCCTCTGAACATGTTCCAACAGCTCCGTGTCCTTGTGCTGGGGGCTCCAGAGCTGGACACAGGACTCCAGGTGAGGTCTCACCAGGACAGAGTAGAGCAGGAGGATCACCTCTCTTGATCTGCTGGCAACAGTTCTTTTGCTGCAGCCCAGGATTCAACTGACCTTCTGGGCTGTGACTGCACATCAGTGGCTCATGTCCAGCTTCTCATTTACTAGTACCCCCAAGTCTTTCTCCAGTGGACTGCTTTCTAAAATGTCCTCTCCCAGCCTCTGTTGGTTGCCTCTCCCCAGATGCAGG